TGTATTAAATTTTATTAATTCGTTCCATATAAAAATTTTAGAATAGTAAGTGACAAATAATTTAAAATACATTATAAGTTATTAAAATTTAAGAAGTTTGAAGACTTCATTTATAAATTATTAAAATTTAAGGGTCAAAGATGCAAAAGATAGTGAAAAATTGTGAAGGAATTATAAATTATTTATTCACAAATTAAAAAAAAAAAAGTAAAATAACTAATTTTAATAATAATAATAATAATAACAATGAAGAAAATGAATTCAGTCAACTGATTGGCTGCGGGCGGCACTGCGAAATTTGTGGTTTAAATTAATTAATACTTTTAATCGATAAAAATGTACGTAAGTTGTCGACATCGTTTCAAATTCAGTCAAACATCGTAAGGGTAATATAATAATAATAATAATTAATTATTTGTTAAATAAAATAAGTAGGAAATTGATAATTTACGTGAGGAATTGTAATCGGGAAAATCGTTATTGGTAATGTTCTTTGAACTCATCAATAATCTCGACCACGAAGCCGTTTTCTTGTCATTAAGAATAATGTATTAGTGAAATGGTCGAATATCTTAAAAATGTACCTGATATTTACAGCTATACCTGATATTTTTTCACATGAGAATAAGTTGAGTCAGTTAAGGTAAATCTCACACTGAGAATGTATACTAGTCTATTGTTGTGTCCAACACACATTTTGCTGTTTAAGTTGGTATTTAGACTATGTCCCGTCAGGGAGAATTTTTCGTTATACCATTAGTCTGTACTCAACAATATAGAACACATGGGTTGACTCGGTTGGTCATTGAGCCATGTGTCAAATCGAACATGGGTATTAAGGATATTTAGTAATAAATTATAGTTTACCATATATATTATATTTGATATTTTATTATAAGGCAAATATTTCATAGGTATCTTTCCATTTATTGTTATTTCCATTTATTACTATTTCCATATTCTTGTAATTCATTTGATTATAAATAAGATAACTTTCACACCATTTAGGTGTGGTGGATTAATCAAACATTCACATGGTATCAGAGCCCTTTCGGTTTAACAACCCTGATCCTTTCTTTTCAATGGCTTTTGAATCCTCTAATCTTCTTCTCCACCACCCCTGCTGGTTTTGACACCGCAGGGGCAGTCTTCATGGCTGCCGTAGTCGGAGCCGATTGATTACTCTTCGGCTCCACCCTATTGACCTCCAAATCACTTTTCGTCATACTCTGTACATACAACCTCACCTTTTCCAACCAAATTGGTTTTTCCCTTGGCCAATATAGTCTCTCTCATTTTCTTCCCAATCAACCTTCATCCTTCACATAAACCCTAACCTAAACCTATCAACCTTTTGCAGAGATTTACCTTCGGAATCTGGGTGCCGCACTGGCCTATTCGCCAACCAAGTTGCCGCCACCCTTCCTGCCAAAATTGGCTTCTTCGCCCGATGAGGCGACTCTTCCGACTGTCCTTCTCGCCAAAATTGGCTCCTTCGCCCAATGTGGCGACTCTTCCGGCTTCAACATTGTCTTTGTCCCTTGCTCTAGGTTTCCCCTTCTCCTTCTTGGGGTTAGAAATATTCTCACCAGAGCCAAGGCAGCATCGTCGCTAAGCGACAATCCCTCTTCATGGGTTAGACATATTCTCGCCGAAGCCAAGGCAGCATTGCCGCTGAGCGGCGATTCCTCTGCAATTTTCGATGGCCAAGAAAGTGTTTCTCTACGCCTCCTCTGAACCAGGTTGTTGACTTCTTCAAGAAAAGTGTTTCTCAACCTCTTTGAATTTTTCAGATTCAAGCTTCACGTTCGTTTAAATCCGACGCTTAGCTTGCGGTGGGGTATTAAGGATATTTAGTAATAAATTATAGTTTACCATATATATTATATTTGATATTTTATTATAAGGCAAATATTTCATAGGTATCTTTCCATTTATTGTTATTTCCATTTATTACTATTTCCATATTCTTGTAATTCATTTGATTATAAATAAGATAACTTTCACACCATTTAGGTGTGGTGGATTAATCAAACATTCACAATGGGGTACTCGACTCTTCTTGTTACCTCTTCATGACCTTTTCGAGCATATGACCTAATACAATGTGGCAGATCTTTTTCGTTGAATAAATTTAAATTATATATGGTGCGAAATGTGGAAAGGAAAAAAATGAAAATGTTGAGCTTGTAGAATTTTTTTTGCAAGTATAAATTAATTAAAAGTGTTGATATTTTGAATTAAAATATAATGGGGGAGAGAAGTGGGCTTTGGATTAAGCCCAAAGACAGAAAAAAAATGGGCTTTTTTAGCATCACTCCAATGGCCCAAATGAGATATTTGGGCTACAATGGAACCCATTGTCTTGGTTATGGGCTCGAAGGTTAAAACAAAATAAAAAAGTGGCCCAGCATCTCAACGTGTCCAATAAGAGGCCCAATTGATCCTCATATTAAAATTATTAAATTTATAATATTTATTAGCTTTAGAAAATATTTATTTATTTCTAGTTTAAATTTTCATCTTAATAAAAAATAACAACTAATAAGTTAAAATGTTTTGAATTTTGGATTGGAGTGTTTTGACTTGAAAAAATTCTCTCAAGAGTCTCGAGCACATCTCATGAAAGTCGTATTATCCAAAAGGGACATGGTGCAAGAGCGTAGGAGACATGCCTAAAAGGATTTCTCCTAGCTCGCTTCAACACATTCAAAAAGAGAAAAATTTGCAGGCTCGCGAGTTTTCCTGAATCAACCTCGAAAGTTAAAACAAAGTAGAAATTTCCGACCCAATTACAACACGTCTCAACCCATTAACTTTGAAGGTCTGAGAAGTGCCTCCAAAAACATAGCCAAACATAATGTGGTACGAAAAGAAAAGAACTAGTTGATTATTGATGATGATCAAAACTTTGTAAAAGGCAGCTCTAATGCAGAAAAAAAACCACAACTACAAGGCAGGTTCTATAAATGAAGAGAAAGATCAAGTTTTTGTTCTTTTTCCTTGTCTTTCTTTATGCTTCTCTGCCAATTCAACACATTTTCTTCATCTTCCCCACATTGATATCTATTGTATGAACAAACCCCACCATAGTAAACCATGTCCTCAAACTTGGGAACAACTCCCAAGCCATCATAGAACACTTGTTGGCTATTGGGGAAACAATGAAGATTAGGTCCATGAGCTGCAATGTACATTGGATGTGGCAATATAGCTGGATGATGAAGCTGCTGGTTGCCTGCAAAAACCGACAATGGCCGTGACGACGTCGACGATGAGGAGTAATCAGATATCCGCTTGGCCTTCCTGACGGCGGTGCGCTCTTTCTTGTGAGCATTTTGATGGCCTCCTAAAGCTTGAGAGGTTTGAAACTTCCTTGAACAGAACAAACAAGGGAAGATTCTTGATGGGGTTTCTTCCATTTCAACACTGCTGGATTCAGCAACTTGTAAAGGCTGTTCTTCATCTTCCATATGGGCTGAAACAAAAAGCTTGAAACAAACAAAGAAAGAAGAAGAAGTGGGAATTATAAAGAGAAATGGAAGAGTGAAGAGTATAAGAAGGCTGCAGCAAGAGGGAGTTTGAAGTAAGATGCTAAATTCTAAAAGGAGAGTTGGAAAATGTGCAAAGTTGCATAATAAATAATTATTAAATGAAGTGCTTTGGTGGCAAAGATGGATGCATGGGCTTGGGAACAGAAGAGATAAGACACAGAGAGAGAGAGAGAGAATGATTCCATTTCCCAATCCATCCATTGTGTGTGTGTCCGTCTGTCTGTCTGTGTTTTGAGTCCAAACTTGGGTTCATCAGTTCAAAAAATGGATATCAATCTAGAGATAAGTTATGTAGTATAGATATCACTTAGATCTGGTTTTGTTTCATTTTGTTCTAGAACTTTGGGTTTGTGTTCTTGAGGCTGTAATGCAAGTGGGTGGTAGCAAGGTACTATGGGAGTACTAGAAATTTGTTGGAATGGTGTTTTTCTTTTATCTATAAATGGTTATGGGAGTAAAAAGGGGGCAGAGGGTGTAAGTAAATGGGTGTTCCCCACCGCCAATCTGATGCAACTTTGTCACTTTTCTCCCATTCCTTGCATGCTCATACTGGCAGATATATGAACCTCCCATATCATCCCTCCAATTGCTTAACTTTCTTTCCTGTCTCTCCTATCTTCTTCTTACACGTGCCTTTCTTTCCCTTTCTCTCTTTCTTCTCATCAATACTTTAAAACTCAACCAGTTCAAGCCGTTCAAGCTCACTGCACTAGTAGATGTTATCCTCTTTGAGCTTATATTGTCCTCTTTCGAGCTTCCTCTCGAGGTTTTAAAATGCGTCTACTATAGAGAGGGTTTAGCCCTCCTCCGACTAGTGTCTCGCACCATCCAGTGACTGACTCTGATACAAGCCTACTGCTAACAAATATTGTTTGCTTCGGCCCATTACATATTGTCGTTATGTCTGTTAGGGAGAGATAATCCAAGCCCTTAACTATAACCTATTACGTATCGCTGTCAGTCTCTTGTCTGTTAGGGAGAAAAATCCAAGCCCACCATTACAACCCGTTACGTATTGCCATCAGCTTCATGGTTCTAAATGTATATGATAAGGAGAGGTTTCCATACCCTTATAAAAAATGTTTTGTTCTCCTCTTCAAATATTAGATCTCACACGCACTCCAACCAACTCCAACCAACCAACGTGAGATCTCTGGGTCCGCATCCCAAAATTTCAGCACTCAGGCTTCATTCAACTAACGTAAGATGAAATCTTGGTCTTAGTTCCTATGTGCGTTGTACTTCTGAAGTTCTTTAAAAGTTTCTCTCTCTCTTGTTTGTTTCTTACCTAAGTTTGGTAGGAGTAATCGAAACTCATCCTGATAACATTTAAATCTTGACCAATATAAGGATCACATTTATGGGCAAGTATTAACTCCAGATTAGATTTTACAACCAAAATAAAGCCAATCATTCCACCGTTAATCTCAGCACGTGACTAAGATGGGGATCGTAATTCATATATGAATCTTCATCAAACACTACCAACAATTAGTTTTACAAAAAGGACCTGTAGAATTCTTTGTTTCTTTCTCAACATATACCAATCTCTTACACAAATCTATTGTTTGCATGGATAATAGATAATAAAGCGCCACATAATCCACAAAGATGAAACATGTCCTTACTTCTTCTAGTCTTCAGGTTTTCTCAACACAACATAGCTTGGTCCTCCATTCGTCTTTTGAATCCTTGAAATTCTCCTCAGTATTTCAGCAAAAGCATTCTTGTCCTGCATAATGGGTTAACAAGGCATCACAAAATTGTTATGGTCCAAGCTTCTAAATATTATCCTTTCATGTTTTAAGCTGTCCACGTTTAACTCGCAATTGGTCAAAGAATCGAAGGATGTATCGCCTGAACTGTAACTTGTTTCACTGACAGTACTCACTCATTGAGGGAAAGAACAGTTTATGTAAAACAGGTCATGAAGACATAACGTACCTCGTGAGATCGTAGTCTTGCTTTGAATTTTGCAACAAGATCCTGTGTAGTTACAGGTGTCCTTTGTCGCAAAACAGCCCTAATTTCTTCCTCAGTAACGGGTCCAGAAGCGGATGCTGGTTCTGTTTTGACTGATGCTGCTGCACCTTTCGAGGCCGTACTTCTAGAAGTAGACATGCCTTCATCTGTCGACTTTGATTCCTGAACATCCCAAGAAATGTTTGTTCATGACAAAGAATGACTTCTTCTAATACGAAGAAAAGTACTTCCTCAGAGCTTAAACCATGGGATAGTGCGCGACATACCGTCTCTGTTTTCATTTTCTTTGGAGGTGCACTGGATGGTTTCACATCCTCGCCATTTTTTCTTTTCCCCTTCGCTGTCTTTGCAGTAGAAGAGGTTCCCTTAGCAGATCCAGAAGGAGCTGGTTTTGAGGGACTGTTGGCTGCAGCTTCTTCTTTAACTGCATCCTTCTGCTTTGAAGGCGCAACTGGAGTGCCACCACTCTCCTCTTCCGCCTAAGCAAATAAAAGTACAAAGCTGCTTAATAACATCAAAATCCAGACAGTATGAGTGCAATTCACACAGATACCATGCAAAGGACTGCTCATAGGTCCTTGTTTAAAATTTTTTATCATGCTGTTAAGTTCTGTTCACAGGAAGCACAAAAGGTTCTTACATCGTCGTCGTCGTCGTCGTCCTCCTCCTCCTCTCCATCTGAATCATTAAGGCCCCCAGAACGTCTAAGCAATTTCTTCAACTCTTTCCCAGATTTGCTGAGCCCCCCCTCTCCTTCATTTTCTTCATCCTCGTCTTCTTCATCCTGCACAGTGAGAAGAATTTACAGGAACTAAAAAGCTTAGTCATACAAACAAACTATCTGTCTCTCATACATGATATTTTCGACTTGAAAGGTTACACTATATTTTCAGGAAAAGCTTCAGACAATACAAGATGTCAACCAGAACTCCAGGTGATTTTAAAGTTCAATGAATATCAAACATTGAGAAACTCTTACTCATATGTGTCAAATGGGGGAAAAATAATAATAGTCTAAGTGCTAGACAACCTGTTTAATCTCTGGAGGTGCTGGAACTTCAGGGGCTAAATCCTCCCTTTCTTCACGATCTGGAGCAGTAGTTTCATCATCATCGGTAAAAATCTCTTCATGCTCCCAATCATCTCCTAAAAGGGTTGGACAGACAAGTTAACATAGAGGAACAATGACAGTGGCCTCAATACTCATCATGTGAATTAATAGCTGAAATCTCACTTGCATGGATACAAGAAAGTGCTTCCTTCCAAAACATATTATAAAAAAAAACATGGGAAATTTTGAATCTTCTTGGATAATAACAAAAGAATTTGCTAATCTATTGCTATCCCCAACTCTAAACCATATGCCCATATGATGGCCTCAGTAAACATCAGCTGATGGCAAGTGACGTTCTTTAGAGATGACAAAGACATTGTAAAGCACTTAACCTAAAAGAAATTTCTTTGTTTATCTTTAAAGGAAAAAGATGAACCTATCGACTCGATATCATCATCATCCAAGTCATGGTCACCTCCCCTAGGGCCTTCCTCATCATCATCATCACCACCACCCTTTTTGTTGAGTCCCAATCTGTTCTTCCTTGCTGCCTCTTCTTCTTCATCTTCTTCTCCCCTATCTGAAACATTACCTTCATTCTCATCACTAGTAGGTTTTCTGCGTCCCCTGCCAGTAGCACCAATACTATCTTTGTCGTCAAACTTCTCAACTTCACCAAATGCCGCAGGACCATTACTTGCAGCTTTCATCATCCATCTTTCATATCCATCCGCTGTCTTCTTTCGGTTCTTCATTTTCTCTTCTGCCTCCTCCAATGTAAGTTGCTTATACTGTGCCACTTTGTTGAAGTTGTACCTGTAAATTGAGGTCAATCAACCCTTTACTACCATGGATGGCTTGAAATTTTCCATCCGCACAATTGTCTAGTAGAAAATATAGAAGCCTTCGAGAATTGGTAAATTTAGAAACCATGTAGGAAGAAGACTACGACAAACAGACAAAAGACTACAGCTTGCTCACAAAAACTAGCTCAAAGATCAACCATACCAAGAACCTGCAGGAATGGCAGTAAATTCCTTTCCTTGCAATACAAGCAAGTAATATGTTGCTGATTGTGAACCCTCGAGATGGCCTTGGAATTGAGATTGGCCAGTTTCATCTTCCAAGAGCCAGGGTCTATTCTTGTACTTTTCCTGTGTAAATGGAATCCTAATTAATCAGGGTCAAATAGGACAAGACTGCAAATAAGATTGAAGTACATTATTTATCAAAAAAAAAAAAAAATTAAAAAGCAATAGGACACAGAACAACTAACCTAAAGTCAGAGATAAGAAAAAATAAATACAAGAAATAAACAAAATGGATCTCCAAGGTCAAAGCTGAATTATGATTAACACAATGTAATAAATTAATATTGAAAAACAAAATATATATAATTACATGGTCCAACATATATGCAAGTCGTATAAAAATAGAAAAGTGCAAGCTAATAAAAAGAGCAAACATTTCACAACTTTACTGTGGCAGAAGAACCATGTTCTTAAGAGACCCTTTATCCATGTTACAGAATGTGTGTTCCCGTTTCATTTACTTGAAAGATAGCATCAATTTCTTTTTCCTTATGTTCTCCCAACAGTTATAATTTCTTAAAGAAAAATAGGTCTCCTGTATCATAGCTTACGAAAAATTATCCAAGTACAAACTTAAAAGGAAGCAAAATAGGAATTAAGTCAGTACCCGCAGGGCATCAGTAAGCTGGCGTCCTTGTAGACCTTCCTTGTAAAGAGACCATTTATTCTCGGCATTTCTTTTCTTCGAAAAGTTTGGCAGCCCACTCATGAACCGACCAATGAAGTAGTTCTTGTCGCTACTTGAACTCGCTCGAACATTGTATTCCTAAAATATAATTCATCATGCACTCTCAGAAAGAGAAGGCAAGAGAATACTCAATCCACGCTATTATGAAAATTCTTAAATCTGTCATAAATGAAAGAAAAAAGAAAAATCCTAATCACATGAGTACAAATTCAACACATTCAAATCATCATGCTCCTTAGGAAAGACGAGGTAAAGAACGAACTCTTATTAAGCGAGTAACAGTAGCACCACAGTCGTAACATTTGCCCTTATTCTCAGCCATAGTTTTGCCACAGCTCAAGCACAACGTCATGTGCTTGCAATTGCTCCCATACAACTCCGTCGTGGATCCGCATCCACTGCACGACGGCTTCAGCAGCAAATCCAATGACATTGCCCCACCCCCTAATTCAGCAACAAAAGTCTACGGAACCCCAAAATAAAAGCAAAGCGCAAAGGAACCCCAATAAGAAATCTAGGGTTTTTCCAAATAACAGCCAAAACCCTCTCAGTATCAAGAACCCAAAAGGACGGAAAGCTTCTCTTACCGTAAATTTGCAGAAGCAGGGTCAATTGGTGCAAATTTCTCCTCAATCTACAGTAATTAAGCGATCTAACAAAGCGACAAAGGTTACAGACAGAGAAACTTGAGAGAGAACGAAAAGAACACAGAGGAGAAGATTAAGCGAGCGACGAAAATTTTGAGAAAATCGCAGTCGAAACTGTAACGGTCAAAGAATACTTTGATCTGGAGTCTGACCGTACACCGTTTCTGGCCCTGAACGAAATCAAATATATACTTCCGTAATTATTTAATATTATATAATTTTCTTTTCTTTTCTTTTTTCAAACTTTATATTATACAATATTCTGGTATTAGATTATTCAAAAGTATGAGTAAAATTATTTTATTTTATTAGACCTAATATTTCTATTTTACCTTTTTTAAAATTAATTTCTATGAAGAAAATTATAAAATCACCCCTAAAACATATAACAATGCATATTCTTTTATTTTCTTAAATTAATTCGATGCCAATTTTTAATACTAGAAAAATTAAATTAGGATAACTAAATAATTATAAATGTAACAATAATTTTTGTGAATAATTTCCATATTTAAAAGCTAATTAAAATAATCTCAATAATTATGTAGTGGTTTTTGCAACTTTCTATTAAAAGTTTTAATTTAGTCATTCTAAGTTTTTAATATTTTTAAAATTTTCAATATTATTAATAATACCTATGAGAGCCATGAATAATAATTATCCAAATTAAAGGTTTAAAATCCATTATGTTTTCAACAATTTAACTTTGTTTAGACAGTCAGTTTAGACAGTCTAAAATTGTTTGGGATACTAATGTTAAAATTGTTTGGGATACCAATGAAAACATTGTATCGCCAAACAATCCATCTAGAAAAGAAAACGTTCATATAATACAAGTTTAAATGCGTGAAATAACATAAACGTGAAAGTTATGCTTACTTAAAATTCAATACACGTTCAATAAACAATCACAATCACTTGGCTTGTACGTCATTGCAAAATTTTTGTTTTTGAAAAATGTTGTTCTAATGATGGAGTCCGAGATATGCAATCACATAGAACATGACTTTTGCTAACATGACTATAATAGATCTATAATTTGATATCGTGTACACCAAAGTCTCTAAGCATGACTCACTTTCATTCAGGCAAATCTTAATAATAAAACCAAAAAAAGTCTATTTCAATATTTCATAACTTTTATGAGCCGATGGAGTCGGTTTCTTTTTTTTTTTTTTTTTTTTCCTTTTTTATTTGTTGTTAATTCATATTAAACTTCTATAAAGAAATCACCTATCAAACAACCTGCACATATCTATTTTACAATCAAATCAACAGAGCTCAAAAAATATACATTTGAATGTCATGAAGGGATGAAAAAAACTAGACGTGATTTGCATGAGAAAAGTACTGATAACAACAAATAGAAAGGTGTAAAACATAGATAGAGATTATCAACATTCTAAACATTTACCTCAAAGAAAAACATCAGCGCACAGGACATTTGCCCATGTTTCACAGCAGGGACATGCCATTATCTGTTATTAGTAAAACGAATCGAGGATACCTTCCACAGCACGGAATCAAGAACAACCAAAACATCTGCGTATAGAGAAAACGGTCGAGTCCTCCAGCTCTGCTTCAGGTTCAGTCTTTCTTCCACTACGATAATGCTTGAAGAAGACTTTCACAGCTCCTTCTACTCCATCCTCATTCTCCATGGCCTTGGCAAGCTCCACAGCAGAATACTTGACCTGGAATAGGATACACACGTTCATAACCGCCTATTCTTTTTTCTCTAGCCAACTCTAACATCACAACCAGCTCCTTCACTAATACTAGTATATGCCTTATATCCTAATTAAGCATAGCAGGCTCCTGTCTTTAATTTTGGAGGACCAAATACTTGATGAAATGGTGCATTTTTTTCCCAATAATTTCTACACACGTTCAACTTGCAAAAAAATTACCTTTGGATCTAGCATGAAATTTATGGCATTAACCAACTTGTTAAGTGAGAACTCTTCAACTGGGATGGGTGCAGGACCAACTCCTCTAGCATGTACCCGTTCACCCCAAAATGGTTGATCTCCAAAGAAAGGAATAATCGCCGTTGGACACTAGAATGAACAGAGAAAGAGAGAAAGAGCAGGATGAGAGTTCGCAATAATCAATCACATGGTACTAAACAAGACAAGTTTTACAAAGTGAAGCTATTACAGCAGCTTTTAGTCCAGCAGCTGTTGTTCCAGCACCTCCATGATGCACCTGTAAACAAGACACAATGTTGGGGAAACCCTTTCAGATGCAGGAAACAGATAAAGAAACCAGAAAAAAAAACATAGTCAACATGGCAATAGTCATAGCATAGGGCATCCAGCCTTTAGTTAGAGAAATTTGGTTAATTTGCTTGAATGACCATTCACGATGGAAAATAATGAAAAACTGCAGAAGTATTTGCGAACCTTTGCTACTTGAAATCAAGGTCAAAAGTCAGTTTCAAGTTACTATTTAAGTAGAAGATTCTAAGTCATAGTTTTAAATACAAAAGAGAAAAGAAACGGGAAAGAAGATATATAGAAAGAAGCAGAATTTATTTGTTTTCTCGGCTTCCTTTAGGTGAAGGAGATGTATCCTTAACCCTTACATTGAATAGACCTCTTATTTGTACAGAGATACATTAATGTTCTGATATAAAAGAAACAAGTATATGAACTCACTATGAATACTCACCACAGCCTTGCACCGTAAGAATAGCCAATCATGAGGGCAATTGTCTAATAAATATACGAAGTTCTTCGGTTCTGTCACTGGAGAGAAATAAAATTTAAGCTGAAAAATATATATCTCCTAGAAACTATATTTCCAGGCAACAAAATTTCAGGGAGCGGATGGGAGTGAAAAGATAGGACCAATTACAATCATATTGATGTCACTAGAACATACTGAGATAGAAATTCAAAAACTTACAATTTCCAAGACCACCCCAGCCTTTGTTGATGATGCCTCTCTGCCCAGTAATTTCCAGCGCCTCTACAATTATTTTGGTCATCTTTTCAGGCTCTTGGACAGGCTGAAAAACAATAAAAACTAGTTTAAGATTGTGAGAAGACCATTTACCTAGAAGGCTGTTTCTTAGAAATAACGAAGCTTTCAAATGGAAGAATGAGTGGCCAACGAAATTAAGAGAAGGCATGGGATCTAACTCCATTAATTACCAACAAATGAGAGACTACATTTTTAGATAAGTTTCAATTTTACCCTTCTACATTTGTTTAGTTAGGGATATTTTAGTGATTTGACTATGGCGACTGAACAAATTTTGCTTCATATCATTATTTACTTATTTTAGACATAGAAGCAATAACAATAGGTATCATTATTTGATTTAGGAGTTGTAGGACAATTAGAAACCAAAATCCTAGTACGAGAGGGGAGTAGGCCAAAGGCTATAAATAGCCCCATTGAACTTGTATTTTTCAAAATTTTGATGATTAATAAAAATAGCCCAATTAAACTAGTATTTTTCAGGTTTATATGATTTATAAGTAGTGTGTTACACCTCTTTTTAGAGCCATGAGCCTCACCAATTTTTGCAATTCTTGTCTTGCAGGCCCAAAACATTTCAGTAACAGTGAAAATGATCAGATCAACTTATTAGTTGAGTGTTTGAATCTTTAGAAAGGAACATGTTTTCTTACTTTCCATCATTGATTATTAAAGGCAGTCTGAATCCAACCTTCCCTCAGGGCTGATTCTCAAATTGATTGAGGGTTTAAGTGTTTGTGAGTAAAGAGATGACATTATTAAAGGATTCCGAACTACAATTCATTAGGATTTTCACATAGGGATAGGTCGGGGAAAGGAAAAGAAAGTAGGCTAAATGATGGCGCAACATGCTTTTTTATAAAAAGGACAACTTATGAATAGAAAGTACACACAAGTAATACAAAATTCCAAGCCAAAAAGAGTAAAAAGTGTACATAAAAAACAAAATCCAAACAAAAAAAAAAAATGCAGTTACTCCAATTCAAAAGTGAGATATAAATATGGTGCAATATGTGCAAGCTAGGAGTTCGAGTTTTTCTTAATTCTACTAGTAGGGTGTTGCATTATGTGCAAGGGTGCCAGCGAAGGTGTCAAGTACTTGTTCCTTCATTGCCCCTTCTTATAATTGATGGTGAAGTCTTTTCAATGACACTAACACTAATTGGATCGTTCATGATAATCGAGAAGAGTTTTTCAAATCAAATTTTTTGGTTACCATTCTTTTCTTGAGAAAACTGAACTTCTGTACACAGTAATCACTGCCTTTCTTATTGTACTATGGAACATTTGGTAAGGAATAAAAGCATCTTCCAAGAAGAGGGCACACCAGATGAATAAATGATTTGCAATCTTCACCATGATTTTTACCAAATTGGCCGGGACATCACATGGAAGGATATATATTTCTTTTTTAAGAGATGAAATTTTGTTTGAAAAAATGAAAAGAGAATAATGTTTAAAAGATACAAAAATTCACACAGGAATGAAAAGAAACAACGAGGGATTACAGAGAAGAATGAAATATCAATCAAAATACTGTTAAATCCTCTACAATAAAGAGCCTAAAATAATTGTTCAATCAAAACATCAAATAATGGCTAAGAACGTTGGACTCCAAGTAAAAGAGAATGATGGAGGAAAAAAGGGATGTGACAAATGATTACAAACATTTCTGCGTGTTAGATCTAAAGAGACTAATAGAGGAAGAGTTCGGACGATTAGAAGGATATCTATTTGAAGTTTTGTAGAATTGATTCTTAATGGAAGTTTCATTCCACAGCCAAAAAAAATGTAATAAAAATCTACAACCTCTTACCCACCCCCCAGTTGTCCCATTAAAAGGAGAAGCCTTCGATGCAGAGAAAGGAGAGACTTTAAAAAGCTAAAATATCAAAATAAATGGAGGGAATATATGAGGCACTCACAAGGCTACCAAAACCGATATAAATGGGCTTGTCACCAGCCTTAAGCCAATTTACAAGCGACTCAGGAGGTTCATAATTTGATGCAAGATCAAGGAAGCAAAATCCGACCACATCCACCTTAGGTCCCCAATCTGAAAGAAACCCAAGTTTTAAAGCTAGAATCATAAGATTCTATGTGCTTGATGATCAGGAATGACACATTCTATATTCTTTTGAAAATGGAAAATTCCAGATCTTGCAAGCATGCTGCCATATTACTATA